TTAAAAAACCCTAGAATTTCACCTCTTGCAATTTTCAGTTTCTCACATAAAATTGATTTTCTTTGTATAAGTATATGTTAATTGCTAAAATTAGTCAGTCACATTAAAAAAAAAATCCCCACATACTTTAAGAAGTGAATGTGTATAGTACTGAAATATAGCCACCTCTAGGGTTAAGCACAGCAGCTGTTTGATAGCACATAGCAACACTGCGAATTAGTTTAGAGAAGGAATTGTGAATAGTATATTGGCAGAAACTTTAGAAGGAATTTAGATGAGCAAAACTAAATTATCCAAATCCAGGGCACCAGGGATTATCCAAATGTACCAGAGCATCAAGGATAACAGTTCTACTCCTGGGGGGAAAAACCCATGGAATGTTTAATGGCCACAGGTGATTAGGACCCAGATCTTATGTGCACTGCAACTTATGTACACCAGGCCTCCAAATAATGTGTTAGAGGACTGGTTGAGTACTGACAGAGAGGGAAGATTTCCCTTTACTGAATCCCCAGCTTCAGGAATCTTAGTAGTGTTTTTGAGGTCTACCATACAAGTATTGGGCTTAGGTTGTGAAATCTGCAATGAAATTGCCACCCAATATGGCACAGCTACAAGCTGCGTCCTTACTTTCCTACTTCGAAGCTTTATTTTATCCATAAATGGTCCCTTACACGTATGTTTGTAACAGTGTTTCTCAACATTTTAAACTTATTTTTCATTAAAAGGTCCTGGCTGTGCAGTCCCCGTACCAGCTAATCAGTCATTCTGGACTCGTGAGGAATACTCTAGTCCGAAGCTTCCCAGAGCGTCTCACAAAGCTGTTGTCAATGGCAATGTAATGTGGGTTGTTGGAGGCTACATGTTCAATCATTCCGATTCCCATATGGTTTTAGCGTGAGTAAACCCAAATACCTTGATATCATTTTTGCTTTTCCAACTACAAGATATTATTAGATGTCAAGAATTAATTTTAGAAAACATCATCCTGCAAACTGTGTCCACACCTGCGCCCTACCCAAAGCTAGGATTTGTCAACATGAGTTTACTAATGTTTGATGGGAGCTAGTTTTGGAAAAACTTCATACAGAGT